ATCATATATATAAATATATATACATACAAACATACATAAGTACATACACACATACATAAGTATTTATATAAGTGTATATATATATATAACGCATGAATCAATGTGCATTAAAATATAATTTATATACATATACGTTTTTATATATACATGAATATAAATTTTGAAATTCAAACAAGTATATATATATAACTAGGAGATATTTAATGCACTACTTTCCAAAGAAAAAGTGGTGCATTAAATACACATGAATTAATAGAGGGTAAAAATGTCACAAAAAAATCAGTAAAATTCAAATAATGTACTTAGATACAAATAAATATCAAAATTAAGGATTTGATTACCTAATATTTTTTTTATGAATTTTTTTACAATTAAATCTAATTGAATATATCTCGATCTAATTTTCCCTACAATTATTATGGATAAGACTGATAATCGAGCCCAATATTGTGACGCTAACAGGTCAAAACATTGCATGTGCTCGATTCAAATAGCTAACAATTACAGTGGGGCCCGCGTCGAAAATCACGAGTAACCGATGCACTCACAGCAAAATCTTCCACAAATCCGCAATGTCCTTTTTACCCTTCAGCAAAGAACTACTTAAACTTTCATCTAAATGGCACTTGTGCAATTTCTTGGCTAATCAAGCCTATTTCCCCAAGAAAATCAAAAACTCAAAATCGAGCGGGCAAATAGTAACCACGGTTAAATTAGGGTAAATAGTGCGTACCAGGCTGGCAACAATAATAATTGTTCATGCCTAACTGGGACCCAGCGGTAACCATGGTTAGTTGACCCTGGTCAATTTGGCCTATATATTTCTTCTTCTTTTTGAGGCCTTTTTCTCTGTATAAAAAACACCACAGTAAGAACTGGAAAGCTTATCATCGGAAAGGCGTCTTCATAAACGCCGTTCGTGGCTATCATTGGCTTTTTGGCTCTCTTTCGATCTTTAGTGTTTATAATTGTCTGTTGTTGATTTTTTTTTTCTTCGATTTCGTGAAAATGAGGGAGTGCATTTCGATTCACATCGGTCAAGCTGGTATTCAGGTCGGCAATGCCTGCTGGGAACTTTACTGCCTTGAGCATGGCATTCATGTAAGATCTCTCTCTCTCTGTCCATATATATATATATATATATATATATCTATGTCCTCTATTATTTGTTTGGTGGTTGAAAATGACGAAATGAGCTATCTGTAATGCTTTATTTGTCGATAATATGTTTCATGAAAAAATAAATAGCGTTGCTTATTTCCTTCAATTTTCGTGGCTATGTCGAAATTTTGTTGTGATTTGGTCATTCTTTAGGGTTATTCATTAGATCTGTGTCAATTGTTGATATAATTGTGCTTTTGTGAAAATTTGTTGGCAATATTGATAGAACTGGTGTATCAATATGATTATGGATGAAATGTAGCGACCAATACATCGAAGTATGCATTTCATGGTTGAATAATTTGTTAATTATGATCAACATTCCTATTTTCAGAAGAATTTTATGTCTATGGCAATGCCTTAATTTTTCATAGTTACTTATGTTCATTCTGGATCTCTAGCTTTGTGGCGTACATATATGTAGAACATGAAGATGTATTACGTAGATTTTCATTCATGTATGTTTTCATAGTTTCTTCATGATCAGCAAAACCACATTCTCATTCGTTGTTATTGTGAAATTGATGCTTTTGATCTGGACTGTAGCTTAATTTACTTGGGGACCTAGCGAATTTGTAAGTTAAACTATATGAAATTGATGTTGCTTGTTATTAGTACAGATTTAGCGTTGTAATTTGTTTGAAATCCCTTTGATATAATGTAAGTAATCAAATTGTGGTATGGTTTTGTATGGATATAGTGTTTTTTAATGTTTAGCTCATTGGTTAAATGCATTCTTATTTTTTCATATTTTGGTTCCTCTCTTTGTTTGAAATATTTTTGTTTATTCTCACGTTTCTGCCAATAGAGGCACCGGTTCAATTTAGTGATAGAATTTTTTTTAATGGTACTAAAAATAAGGGTAGACTGAAATTAACACTAAACAAAATAATAAGAAAATATATAAAAATATTTAATTTACATGAGTGTAGTGTATGATTGAAATAAATAGCGAAGATGGACTGATATAACCGACCACAAATGTTTGGTTTGATTAAGTTTGGTTTGGTCTGGTTTAGTTTATTCTCACCTTTCTGAAGACGTTGATGCTTTTTAGAATACGTTTGGGAGTATTTCTGAAGTTTTTCCTTTGTTTTCAGCCTGATGGCCAGATGCCGAGTGACAAAACCGTTGGTGGAGGTGATGATGCATTTAACACTTTTTTCAGCGAAACTGGAGCTGGAAAGCACGTCCCTCGCGCTGTTTTCGTAGATCTTGAGCCCACTGTCATTGACGAAGTGAGGACTGGAGCATACCGTCAGCTCTTCCACCCTGAGCAACTCATCAGTGGCAAGGAAGATGCTGCCAACAACTTTGCCCGTGGCCACTACACCAGTGAGTAGCATTCTTGTCTCACGCTAATGATTTGATTCATTGGATTTGAGTTAAATGCTTATGTTTTTGTTATCTTTTTGTTTTACCCTAGTTGGGAAAGAGATTGTTGATCTCTGCTTGGATCGCATCCGGAAGCTTGCTGACAACTGCACTGGCCTTCAGGGTTTTCTTGTTTTCAATGCTGTTGGTGGTGGTACTGGTTCGGGCCTTGGGTCACTTCTGCTGGAGCGGCTTTCTGTTGACTACGGCAAGAAATCAAAGCTTGGTTTCACCATTTATCCCTCACCCCAGGTTTCTACATCTGTTGTGGAGCCCTACAACAGTGTCCTGTCAACCCATTCCCTTCTTGAGCATACTGATGTTGCTGTGCTTCTTGACAACGAGGCCATTTATGATATCTGCAGGCGCTCCCTTGACATTGAGCGCCCCACTTACACCAATCTTAACCGCCTTATCTCCCAGGTGAATGAGCACTTCTTAATATATTTCAGGGTGTTTCCTTAAAAATTAACATCGACACTTGTAACTGATGAATTTGTAATCTGTTTATGCCATCTTTGCCGCAGGTGATTTCTTCACTTACTGCTTCTTTGAGGTTTGATGGAGCCTTGAATGTCGATGTGACTGAATTTCAGACCAACCTTGTGCCCTACCCCCGGATCCATTTTATGCTTTCCTCATATGCTCCTGTTATTTCAGCTGAGAAAGCCTATCATGAGCAACTCTCTGTGGCAGAGATCACCAATAGTGCTTTTGAGCCTTCGTCTATGATGGCAAAGTGTGACCCACGCCATGGCAAATATATGGCTTGCTGCCTGATGTTCCGTGGTGATGTTGTGCCAAAGGATGTGAATGCAGCTGTGGCCACCATCAAGACCAAGCGCACTATCCAGTTTGTCGACTGGTGCCCAACTGGATTCAAGTGTGGTATCAACTATCAGCCACCAACAGTCGTTCCTGGAGGTGACCTTGCAAAGGTGCAGAGGGCTGTGTGCATGATTTCTAACTCAACCAGTGTTGCTGAGGTGTTCAATCGCATTGACCACAAGTTTGATCTCATGTATTGTAAGCGTGCCTTTGTGCACTGGTATGTGGGTGAAGGGATGGAGGAAGGCGAGTTCAGTGAAGCTCGTGAGGATCTTGCTGCTTTGGAAAAAGATTATGAGGAGGTTGGTGAAGAGTCTGGTGAGGGTGAGGACCCGGACGAAGGAGACGGGTATTGATTTGTGGGTGTGCTGTTTTCTTATCTGGTTTCCTTACTGTACATTGGCATTATGTAGTGTTGGGTGTTGTTTCTGTGTTCTCACCATGGCTATATGTCCTCTAAACTCTGGAAAGAGTTTTGTTTGTTTAGCACTTGTGATACATATTCTGAAGATACAATAATGATGCTGTGATTGGTGCTTTGCTCGTATAATGGTAAAAGCTTCTGTTTACATATATATGTGGTTTGAATTGTTGACATGAATCCCTTTTTTTTTCACTATTTCTGTTGCAATTGTATTCTTATTGATTTGTGACGGCAATAATTAAGCTAAGGAAGGTGGTTATTGACACACATGTTTTGTGCTGGTGATGAAAAATTGGAAAGATGAAAAGTTAGAAGAACAAAAAGTTTAAAAAATAAATAAAATATTATGTTTAATAAGAAAAGAAGGAAAGAAAATAGGAAAGATAGAAATGGGATCAATGAATTTTTTTGCAAAATAAATCTTTTTAAAATTAGAAGAAAGGTGAATACAAAATTAATTATTTATGTTAAAATGTATTTTATTTATTAATATATTTTTTAATATATACATATAGTATATTTATTAATTATATATTATGTATACATTAATTTTATATATGAATACAATGGTGAAATATGTTTTTGTATTTTCTTTTTAAAAAAAAAATAAAATATTTTTTCCATCTTACAAAGTACAAAAAAAATTTGATCATTTTTATTTTTCATCCATCCTATTAAACACAAAACAAGAAAAGTGTCTATTTTTTATTCCTATACTTTTTATCCCTCGTACATGTGTTTCATCCTGTCTACCAAACCCGCATTACTGTTGGTTTTCCTTTGAATTCCTTGTATATCTTTGATACATATGGGAGTAGTGAATTATTTATTTGAATTCAGGTTTGCAATATCGAGAAATCTTTCTACACTGAGCCCTTCTTTTTACATGTAAAAGGGTACTTGTGGATTTAACCATAATGAGATCAAATTGTAACCGATTGACTAATTAGCCCTGCCAAATAAATGGACCAATAAAAGCTTGTGGTATTCCTATACTATGTGAATACTACTATCATGTGCGAATGTGTATAGATTGTGTATAGATTGAAAGAACTCTTACATGGCACGAACTAACCATGACATGATTGTGCATATATGATATGACAAAAATCAAGTGACTTCCCTGACCCCCCCTACCTCCTGAACCCGAAAGATGCATAAGAAGCTATGAAAATTCGTGGAATGCAGGCTGGTTTCGGAGAGGAAAATGTTAGGCCGTCTTAACTTGAATTTGGAGAATCCGTTTCACATACAAAACCAATTCAAATTAAAGAAGAGATTTACTTCTCAACTTTGTGCTCAGCTATCAACATACTTCCTTGGCAGGTACATCCTTTTCATCATACGATGTCAAAGACATTCAAATATTTCGCCAAAAAAAGGCATGCAAAGGCGTATAATTAACACATACATAGCGCGAACCTGATTAAAAAATTAGAAAGATTGGAGTTATTCCAGATGCAATTAGATAGACATGACCGTCCACAATGCTTACTTTTGGCTCAACATACTACCACAATGCCATGTGAGACAGCACTGTTGTCAACAACAGTCAACTATTTCCACTAGGTACCTTGCACTTCAAAAAAAAAAGACTTACCAACGGGACAGCTTTTGGACGAGGCGGTTCTCGATTTCCATTCTCTTCTTCATCAGTGACGAATATTTGGCAACAAGTTCTTGGTCTCCAGCATCCACTGCAAGCTTGCAGCCGAGAGATGTCTTATCCAACTTGTCCATGTACATGCACGAAATTGGCACAAAACTACCTTTCTTGTTGCATAACCAACCATGAGCAGCCCTCAGCGCAGCACCCAGTGAAGCGGAGTCTGCCAAGCAAGCATAAGTTTTTTTTTCCAATAAGGATCGTAAAGAAATAAGATTTCTCAGTAAAAGCATGCATTTTGATAGTTTTTCTCAGTTACAACATGGGTAACTCTTAACTTAATTGCAGGGTGGTAGAAATTGGTATAGAGTATGTAAAAAAAGTGCAGACTAAGGGCATTCAAGATTTGCAATGAGGACAAGGCCAGGTAGACTAGACTGTATCTGACAATAAGCCTAAAACTGGCAAGTAAATACAAACAAGAGGTAGCTTACCAGGTCTCTGGACCGTATGCACGTTACACCCAAAAATGGAAGCAATTGAGCCTAGAATGCTAGAATTTGCAGATGCTCCACCGGTAGCTATTATCCGCTTTGGAGGAGAAGGCATTCCAAATCTTTCAGCATGAGCCCTCATAGAAAGTAACTGACCCTCGATCAATGCTCGGACCTGCAAGCAACTTTTAAGCATAGAGAAACTAATTTTTGCCAAGGACCTCACAAGCTATGCAAATGAATGCTTTAAACAAGACAACTGACCTCAGAAGGAGGATCAAATTCTTGCACTTCACGTTCACTAAGATTGTCTATAGTGTCTCCATTGAAATTCTCAAGGATATAGCGGTGGAAACCAACTGGATGCATGACAAATTCGAATAACTCAAAAGATAAGATAACAATAATACCTGTCTGAACCTTAATAAGTTCATTTTGCAATAGCAATTGAAAATATGAATGTGTCCAAATGTTCAATGGGTGTTCCATAAGTAGGTATTGTGCATCAGAGTTACCCCTAAGTGGAACAACTATCCAGACGTTTTCGAAAGGGAGGAGAAAAAATTACAATTTTTGGCACTAATATGTTGAAATTAAAATTCCAAAATTCACCTGGAAGGGGAGGAAGTATTTCATGCTCCTTGTAGTAGAAACCTATCTTCCCTCCTATAAGAGAGCAAAGTATGAGAAAACACAAAAATAGAAGCCAACTACATAATAATAAATTGATTAAATATGTCAGCTAACCATTTAGAGGTGTGGTTTGCTGAAGAAATGTATTGAAAACTTCCCAAGATTTATCCGAACAACGATTACGAACATCTACCAACATTTGGAGTTACGGCGTCAATAGGGAACATTCAAGTGCTGGTTTACATTGATAACAGCATACAACAGATATGGGCAGTGTACCTTCACGAGTTAGAGATCCATTCTTGTAAACCAACATTACCATGTAGCCTTTTGTATCTACAGGGTTCGGAAAAACATGGCCTTCTAAGCTAGGTTTATGGTCGGTGGTTATCCCAAAGACCTGAAAATAAACGTGAGCAGATTACAGTGAATTAATTGCCGGTACAGTGAGTTAACTTGCCAGGAATCATAATTCAAGTTAATTACGGCACATAGATTCTTCTTCTTTTTTTTTTTTTGGGGGTGGGGAGGGGGTGGATTGAGATTTTTCTCATGACTGTAATGTTTAGCAAAAGATGAAATAATTGTTTACTAAGTGCTTAACAAACTCATGATTCATCAAATGCAATGTGGAATGTAGACCAGTAACAGCGCGAAAGGTTAATAATTTAATTTATGTCCCCCAAAATAAGTATGTGAGTAATTCTAACTAATCTTAAGAGCATAGCTTGTTAATCAGCTGGTTTTCCGCATGTTTAAAAGCCAATTTCAGAAAAACAACGCCAAGCAACTCCCAAACTTTTCAATGCACATGCCATAAGCAAAATTTAAGTGTTACAAAATTTGAGGAGAATTTGTTAGGTTCATAGGTTCAAATTCAGTAATTGAACACAAATACAAAAGCAAGATTAGGGCATGCTCAATCTCAGACAGAAAATTTTATTATCATAGATTGCCTGTACAAACCTACTAGAGGGATATAACTAATTTAAGATATATAAAGACTACTTCTAAGGCAGAAATTCAAAGTCAAGAAAATCAGAACTCTTAAATCTTTTAACTCACAGTGTCACTAGTGCCAAGACTAATTGCAAGGTCTCCAGGAGTATTGAGGGTCAACCCTGCAGGTTCAAAAGGTCTTTAGTCAGTATGGAACTAAGACAAGTTGCAAATATGATAGTTATGGTAATCCTAAAGCTGAGAACAGAAATGTGATAAGCAAAGAAAAATGTCTGAAGGCACATCTTTCTGAAAATTTAAGAAACTGAAACCAAGTACAAACTTCGCAAGCCAAAACTTCACTTTTCAGAAAGCCATGAATTTGAGGCAGGAATGCACTTGCTACAAATCATGTTGAATCTAAACTTAGAGCTGTAAGACAAACTATTTGAATGAGCTTGGCTTATGACAGCCTCAATTGTCGTCACATGAAACTGATGGGATAGATGTGTAATGTTTAATGAAATTTTGAAGCTCATTAACATTAACATGGACCTTACCAACGAAAGTGCAAAGTCTGGTAACAAACGAAAATGCCAGAGTTTCCCATTCTAAAGTAGCAGAGCTTTTGACCCATCCAATGGGGTTTCAAAAAAAAATTCTCAAATAATGGTTGGTTTCAAAGTATTTTCCAAACTTAGATCCTTTTAAACAAGTCATTTGGTCTGACGTTTTTTGGGCAAAAGATGTCATTTGATCTGACGTTTTTAGGCTAAAAACGTCAGTCTAAATGACGTCTTTTAATTCCTTAAAAAACGTTAGTTGTTTAAGAAACGTCAAACGGTCTGACGCGTTCAAAAATCTAAAGCAGACCAACTAATTCTTCTTTTAACTTGTAAGGAGATTATTTTAACGCGTCAAACCAAATGAAGCGGTCAAAAATGTTTTACCTTAAGGACATCACTCTATCTAATGCAAAAAAATAAATTAATTTAAAAATATATAAATTTTGATAATTTAAAAATACATAAATTTTGTTTGTCGTACTAATGTTATTCTCCTTAATAATGATACCTAAAACTGTTTTGCTCCCCATCTCTATGAGAGGATGAATTTTTTTTTATTTATTAAAAAATGTAATTATATTCAATAAATAAATTTTAATAATTTAAAAATACATAAATTTCGTTTGTCTTACTGATGTTTTTCTCCCTAACAATGATACCTAAAAAAACTCATTCTCTCAAAAAGAGAGGGAGCAAACATTTTTAGGTATCATTTTTAGGGAGAAAAACGTCAATAAGACAAATGAAATTTATTTATTTTTAAATTATCAAAATTTATTTATTGAATGTAATTAAATTTTTAAATAAAAAAAAAAAACTCATCCTCTCAAAAAGAGAGGGAGCAAACATTTTTAGGTGTTATTGTTAGGGAGAAAAACTAGGACAAACAAAATTTCTGTATTTTTAAATTATCAAAATTTATTTATTGAATGTAATTAAATTTTTAAATAAATAAATAAAAAACTCATCATCTCACAGAGATAGGGAGTAAAACAGTTTTAGGTATCATTGTTAGGGAGAATAATATTAGTAGGACAAACGAAATTTATGTATTTTTAAATTATCAAAATTTATTTATTAATTAATATTTTTATTAAATAAACATTTAACATTTTACTCAAAAAAAAGGCATAAAACCTATCACTAAAAACATTTTTAGGTATTATGGTAGAGTGACTCATTGGCAGTTAAAAGATCTTGTTGGAAACGGATTTGAAGAAATATTCATTTGTATCCAGTTCACTGTCATTCTTAACGATCAGTGTTCGATATTTTAAAATATTATTGTAAGTCAAAAAAAAATTTAAGATCAAATTAAAATTAATTAGAAATTATATTTATTTGATGCATTTATAATATTTTATAAAAAAATAGGGTAAATTTCATAGTTAGTCCGGAATTTTACCTCCAATTTCAATTTTATCCATAAACTTTCATTTGTCTTATTTTAGTCCCTCAACTATCATTTTGATTATATTAAGTCTTTTTATTTATTTTCATCGTTAGATCAATGATGAAATCAATTAAATTGGGCTAATCTCTAGTTGATCTGACGATAAAAATTAATGGAATGATTTAATTGAAATAAAATTGATAATTGATGGATTAAATTAAAAGAATTAAAATTTTAGGTACTACATTAAAACTCGAGAGAAAATTTAGGGGTCACTTATGATAATTACCCAAACAATTATTAATTTATTTTTTTGTATTAGATAGAGTGATGTCCTTAAGGTAAAACATTTTTGACCGCATCATTTGGTCTGACGCATTAAAAGAATTAAAATAATCTCCTTACAAGTTAAAAGAAGAATTAGTTGGTCTGCTTTAAATTTTTGAACGCGTCAGACCGTTAGACATTTCTTAAACAACTAACATTTTTTAAGGAGTTAAAAGACGTCATTTGGACTGACGTCTTTTAACTCCTTAAACTCTTTTGCCCGAAAAAACGTCAGACCGAATGACGTGTTTAAAAAGATCTGGGTTTGGGAACTACTTTGAAACCAACCATTATTGGAGACTTTTTTTTTAAAACCCCATGGAATGGGTCAAAAGCTCAAAGTAGCATGAAAACTTCTGAACAGCATAAGTGATAAACTAAGATGCAGATGACAAGTAACCTGATGGCACTTGGTTAGTTATTAAACATTGGATTGCCTGATTAACCATAAACCATGGTAAACAATCGGCAAACAAAAATTTTGATGACAGAATTTATAGCAAAATCACATAATGTGAAAATCCTCATATGAAACAAAAAAATTTACCTGCAAGGCTGTTAGGGTTGTCTCCAGACCACTGAACAACCAAACAGTTCTTGTTGAAGTGGAACCTGAAAACGGATTGATCCATGATCTAGCTGTCAATTTTTACCAGGAGAGTACAGTGCAACCCATATACACAAACTACAGAATGAATATTTGAAGAAACCCAGTACAGATATTGCTGTCCTAGAGATCTTTGCAGGTATCTAACAATATTATACAGATGTACTCAACGTAGGCATCAGTGAGGTTCAGGATGTCAACATTTCTTGTGTGATTGTTATCCTGGGCTTCGCAGCTAAACATTCAGCAATTTATAAAGCACACTACATGTCCATCAAAACACACAATTGAGGTTTTCAAGTCTTTGGGTATTTTTTCCAATAAAACATTCTTTCCTTTCTTGGTCAATGAATCTTTTAATCTCATCTTTCACCCTTCGATGATATGGAAGACTAAAGTACCCACTAAAGTGCAAGTTTTTGCATGGACTGTTGCACATGGTGAGATAAATACCAATGACATGCTTCAAAAGAGCAGGCCCAATTTTTCTCTTTTCCCCCAATGGTCTGTGATATGTAAAGGTGCTTTTGAAAGTATTGATCATTCAGTTTTACACTGCCTTATTACTTTGTCGTTATGATATAATTTTTTAGTTTGGCGGGCTTTAGTTTAGTGATTCCTAAGTCACCAGCATCCTTGTTTGTTGAACATATGAAGGGTTATGGGAGGAGTGATAAAGGATTAACTCTTTGGAATAGTGTAATAATGGCTATGTTTTGAGCCGTATGGAAGGAAAGGAATACACGAATTTTTGAAGATAGTTGGGAGTGTTTGGAAGGCTTATGGAACCATGTCTATTTTCTAACATCATTCTGGTTTTCACTCACTAAGGACTGCAAAGGAATTCCGTTTTTTACTATTTTAGCGGGATGGAGACCTTCATATGAGTTATAAACCTGTTATGTTTTTCGCTTTGTTATTTTCTACATTTTAGTTGGTTTCCTTAACCAACCATCTTTGATGTGCTTTTTCAATTTTTTATTATTTTCCAGTAATACAAAAGTTAAGTTTCCTATAAAAAAAAGGCATTTTAAGTTTTTGTATTTGCTTAAAGCATGTACGTGCCACACAAGATGCATGTCTTATAACAATACAAACAAGAAGCCCAATGCACAAGGCTCCTACCACTGTTGGGTTGGTGAGAGTCAAATGTACACAATCCTAACCAATGTGCAAAATAACTCTTTCTGTGTGAATCTCTCATATGAACATACTTATCCCAAAAAAACATGTCTAAGACAAATATGGACCAAACAGTTAAACACTGGAGAAATGAGTGAATGCGTAATTTATTGTTGGGTGGTTTCACTTAGTATATGAAAACATCTGCACTTACAGCTGGTACTAAGTTGGAAGTTATGATTAAAATGCAGGTATGTGACAAATAAAATAGCACGAGAATTGTCTCATAAGACCATGGCACGTGCTTGACACCATCCAACGGAACATACAGAAGCAAAATACTTGCATCAAGAGAACAACATAGGCATTGCAAAATCACAAAGTTCATCACTAACCTCTCCACAAAATAAGGAGCAATAACACCGGCAACAGCATGTGCAGGAGCCAACTTTCCAAGTTTCTCTTCCAAACCTGGGGCCGTGGCCTATGATGAACATGATTTCAGCATATATGAATTAGAAGCACAACACTGATCATCAAACTGCAAGCAGTGCCTCAAAATATAACCGGCATCCTTAGCAAAAAGACTCTTTACCATTAAATTATGAAGTGCTACAAAGTTTATCACAAAGTACAGCAAACAAACCTCCAAACAGATTTTTGACCAAGCTCTCTGTTCAATTTCCATCAAGTTCATCCCTGCCCCATCAGTTTGATCAATACAAGCATAGGCCCCAATAAGCAGAGATGCCATGAAAGAGCTAACTAGAGAAATCATCTCAGTATTGTGATAAACTTCTGGTTGTGTCTCAAATATCCTTCGAATTTGAGGACCAGTGTACCTCTCATGCGCACGAGAACCAGTAAGTCTAGACAACTCCAATGCACCTCCTACAGCCTCCTCAATGGCTTTACACTGTTCTGTGGTGCTGCTGTCCATCCATATTGGCGATTCTTTAATTGAAAAGGCATCACCAAGCTGATCCACCAGTGATTTCTTGGGGTCCAATGATGATAATCTCGTAGAACTGCCATTCTTCCAATACACACTGCCATGTTGCTGTCCACTGCCAGAAACAGCGGCAATCTTCCCCAAATTCAATTTTGTTTCCTCAAGTCTTTTAAGTATAAGATCCAATGCTTCCACCCACATCAAAGTGGGTGAAACAATCCGGCCATTAACCAATGAGTCTCGGTACACACCATCTTTGGTTTTGTAATGGGGTAACTCAGAATCAAAATTAACAATCTCTGAAGTTACAATGTTGAGGTTAGCATCCAACACAGTTGCTTTTAACGACCTAAACAATCAAAAGTTCATCTAATTCAGTTAAAGTTCCAAACTTCGTACTTAACTCTCATCAATCCTCAATTTAAAGTATACCCAATTGAAGTAACAGTAAGAAGTGATGATCCAACTCGCACAAACAGTACAATACAATTACTGAAAAAAACAAATTAATTCTGATTTGATTGTGGGTGTGGGTTAAAGTTTAATACAATCAAAAGAACACCCAGAACCGCAAACAAACGAAAAGCGCAAAAGAGAAATGGATTGTTCAAATTGGTTAATTAGCACCGACGAATGAAGTTGAAAAAGAACGGAGCTTACTGGGTAGAGCTGTCGAATCCAAGGAAAAGAGAGTCCTGAGGGAGAGAGCAATCCTCCATTAGAGCAGAGCAATTACAAGGAGAATCTGAATGAAAATACCAAACAGATGACTTCAACTATGAAAGAGACGATGGAAAATGGGACTGGTAGCAATCGTTGTTTCACTGCAAATGAGATTAGTGGATATATATGTTAATACCTCCCAAACTAAGAAAGAGATTTGGATAAGGGAAATATGAAGATCATACAAATCCAACGGATTAAGTGCAATGTTTATCGTGTTCAACCTATAATAGAAATCAAACACATTAATGGCGAATCATCTAATCCTATCAAAATTACTATTTAACTGCGGACGATATGGACAATCCAGCTACTTAATAGTTTTTTTTATTTTTTATTATTGTGGTAAGAGATTATCCGGATTATTTGAATAATATTATTGGACTAATTTTTTTAATTTAATATTTTAATATATAAAAATTATTATATGAGTGGTGTCCTCCTAATGACTATGCGCATTAAAATTTTAAATTAAATCCTTAAAATAGGTGCAAGTTGGATTATTGAACTAAAAATTAAAATCTCTTTTAATTTTTTTTTATGTCTTTCGATATTATAATAATAATATCACATTATTATTCACATAATTAGTTGTGAACCATCAAATAGTTCTAGGGAATTACACTTAGTTCAATGTGATAATTAATAGTTATGAATGGTTATTAAAATAATGAGATATACTTTATTAATTTATAATTAATAAATATTGCTATAAATAAATAATGATGTAATATTACCATGAATAAATATAGTGAACTGCATTGAATGTGATGATTACTAAAATAGCGGAGTTTACTTGTCTTATTTATTATTTTTTATAATAAATTGGTAAATAATATAATTAAGAAATGATGGTGTGATATTGCATTAATTAACAACCACAAATGGGCCAATGGATTTCTATTAGCGGGCTTTTGTTTGAAACTGGAATAATTGGGCTTAGATGTGGTAGCCCAAAAGGCCAGTTGGATATCTCTTCATTTGGGCCGTTGGATGTTGGGGCTCTAGGATTTATGAGTGCTGGGTTTTAGGACAATAAAAACCCGCAAGACAATTCAAATGTATGGGCATTAATAGTAAAGGAAGTTCAAATCTCGCAACAAACGCTTTGATTGACCCGCAACTTGTAGTTATAGGTAATTGTGTTTGAGTTTAAACACACAAATAAACGATTGATTTAGACTTATGTATGGTAGGCCAGAAGGATGCTTAGGGCCCATTAGGTTGTTGGTTGAGGTTGGATTTACGTTCACTCTTCTGATCTACAACTCAAAATCTGTTCATCAAGTTACCATGACTTAGAGGTATGTCACATGCCATTTCGAAAGCAAGCTTGCTTATAAGACTCCAGCCAATAAATAATACCAACAAGAAAGGCAAGGTTTTCGCCCCGACTCTACCTAGATTCAAATTAAATGGGTCAAAATTTGTCATTTTAACACTTATTAACTTTAATTTTTCAGTTACTTCGCGATGTAAGTGATCGGTACACTCATAGGCATAACAACATGCAATCTCATGCTAATAAGAGAAACGAGTGATTCTTAGTCAACTTTCTTTTATTTATTTTTTAAATATAATGGTAGGAGCAGAGCCTTTAAAAAGCTTTCTTAAATTAAGGAATATGATGTAAGGAAGCGGGTAAAAATAATGATGTAATGACCGAAAAGAAATAAAAAAATAAATTATTGATTTGTGTACAAATACCGGTTTAAATTCATACTTCAAGCATGTTAATTCACGAAAAATACCAGTTTTAAAGGTTTTAAAAACTTTGTTGATTCATAAGAATAACAGAAGAATTAAGAGTAAAAGTGAAACTCTCTCAATTGTATGAAATAATCCAAAGTTGTTTTACCCCTAATATTTACAAGAATTTATATAATAGCAAAAACCCAGGATTTTAAATAAATTACGAAACCAAATAAAATAAAATTTTAATTAAATTATAAAATAACATAAAAATAATTTTCTACTAAAATTAGGAAATAAAATAAAAATTTTTAGAATTCCCTATTGAACAGCACTGACCACGTTCAAATAAATTACCAAAATTCTTATCATTTGTACTGCATCAGAATAGCACATATGGATCAATCACACGGTAACATCCTCCAACCCGTTGTTTGCTCCCTTTCACTTTCTTTGCTAGACGGGAAGATGGGAATCGTGAAGAAGTGTCTTAATTGAGTCGATGTTCGTAATTGCAGATAATTGTATAAATCTTAAATTACCTAAGAGTATCTCTGAGTGGAGAGAATATTCATTACAATTACGATACCACATGGTAATGTGACGTGGTATCACCTATTAATAATATTAAAATAAATAAAAAAATGGACTCCACAAAAATTATTAACCAATTTGTTATGTAAGCAAAAGTTTTTTCACTCTTCCTCCATGTAAGTTCAAGTGGGGTTCACTTTATGTACTTAGAATTTTATTATTGGTTGGTAATACCATGTCATCAATATTGTATTCAATATTTCCTCATAAAGACTTTAAATTTTAGTTATTTTGTCCTAAAATTCTAGTTCAACTGAATATCTCCAAAGCATGTAAAATAGCATTTTGTTATAGTGATGCTCTAAATATAGAATATTATTGTAATAATATGTATAAATTATTTATAATATTTTATCTCTCTTCCTTTCTTTTCCTCCATTCTCTTTCTTTTTCCATTTCACTATTCTCAAGAGAAAAATAATACAAAATGAATAAGAAATAGTATTTAAAGGAAGTAATTAAAAGAATGGAAAATTTATTGGAGTGTGTATTGAAAAAGTGAGTAGTTAAAATAGAAAATGTTATTTTTTAAGTAACTAAACTAATTTTTATTGTTGGAGATGCTGATGTCAAGTGTGATAAATATGTGGTTGGGGTAATTTTTTTATTATTAAAAAGTGTCCAACAAGAACTCTTTGTTTTTTTCTATTTTTTTTGACAGTCACTAAGCACCACATATTGAGACCATGAGTTGTCTTTTTCTTATGCTGCCCTTTGCTGATTCACAGACAAATGCTTCAACCTGCTTCTATTATCATGAGTTCTCCAAGTGTTTGTTAACAAATTGCTTTCACTTGAAATAACTGGCTTGGATACAAGTTGCTTCGATTTTCATGGGGCCATGTTGAAGCACCAACACAACTAAAAGCCACGATGGGAAATTGTAACTACTGCTTTCTATTTTGTTGAACCATGTATGGGCCAAGAACTTTGAAGGTTTTTTTTTTTTTTTTGGTTACATATATGAATTACAAGCCATACCTCATAACAAGTTGCTTCTCCAAATTGTGGAATATTTAGGCACACAGAGGCTGGGATGGAACCAACCACCAAGCCTTGCAAAAGTGGGGGGTACTACTGGCCGAGCATCCAAGACGACATTGCTGAGTATGTGAAGACCTGCCTCGTGCGTCAATAGGACAAGGTATAGTGTGACAGACTCCCGAGGGCTCTTTGAGCCCTAGCCTCTACCACACAGACCATGGAAGAGAGTCTCTATAGATCGCGGCTCTGCCAAACTAGGGAACGGCCTTTTCAATATCTTTAAAAGGGCTGTAAGAGGGCCAATATATACATGTTTGGATATTCATAACTAATATAATAGTATAAGGAAATTTTTAAGTTTTTGATATCAGCTACATGAATCTTGTTCCTCATCAATGATTGTATGCTTAAACGTCACCGAACCCTCAAACTAAGTTATCAATTCCATATGACATATTTAAAACACCAAGTTTCAATGGTTAATTTTTGACACTCACATATACTAAATATATGTTTTAGATTAGGACAAAGTTTGTGAAAATAAGTATATATTTGAAGTGTAAGAAGACACACAAACTAGGGCAACTAAACACTGCTTGAGGAGGCCTTGAGTAGATTAGATTGGACTCAACTTACATAAAAGAATAAATGGAATATTTGGGGAGAGCAAACATATAATTAAAGTTCAACAATAATAGATGAATAAGAAAGGACAGTGCATCTTTGAGGAAGAGAACAAAAACTGTCTAAGAAAAATAAAGGAGTTGTCTCATATAATGTACCTTTTAATATACAGGTCAGAACGGTGGGGCTTGGGAGCTCAAGAATCACTTGTGATCTCAAATGTTGCAGTCACTTTTGGACGATAGCATGACCAGTTGGGTTACCCCATCGCGTATTTTTGTGTGGGATATCAACATGGGGTACCGAAATTCGATTTTATCTTGATATGTTTATAGTCGTAAATCATAAAAATAATGAGATAAAATAAAATAATAAATCATTAAAGACTATAAAAATATCTTACTTTAATTGGTGAAAAATAAGACTTGGGATACTATTGCTTCGTTTGATACGATGAAAAAATGGAACGATAAAAAGTTTAAGGAATAAATAAAACGTCATGTTTGGTAAGAAAAAAAAATAGGATTGATAGAAAAATAGATGGATTAATTTTTTTTTTCAACTCACCAAAATCAATTCCTCAAAATTTGGGAGGAAAAGTGGATGAAAAATTAATTATATATGTTAAAATGTATGTTATTTGTCTATATATCCTTTGATGTACACATATATCATATTTATTAATTACATATTATATATACATTAATTTCAAATATAAATATAATGCTAATAAAAATTAAAACTGAAAATTTAAAACAATCTATATAATAAAACAGGAGTGTGTTTGAATTTTATCCTAATCATATTTTTCCCTTTAAAACCATTATCAATCACTTACTTCACCCATCATCCATTTGTCAGACTTAAACGTCAAATCACATCACTCATTTCTATCACATATTTAATCATTTATATATTTCCTCCCTAAAAATATCACACCACTCATTTCTATTATATATTTAATTATTTTTTAGTTAATATATTTTTAAAAAAATTAATATAGTGAGATCGATTTTTTGGACACTCGAATTTTATATTTTATCGTTCCTTCAGGCACGAGTTATGATTAGTATATACATATATTCTATCTTATCAAACACAAAAAAAAAAAAAAAAATCAATCTTTTCTTCTTCCCATCTCTCTTACTAAACACAAAGGAGGAAATTAAAGATTCTATCTCCTGAAGAAGGAAAAATGTATCATTCCTATTTTGCCTTCTTCCATTTTCTATCCACCCTACCTACCAAGCAGGCCATTTATAACAATCATCAATTCCGAGAGGAAGATCTGGAGGCAGATGAGCTTGCTAGAATGGGTGCAAACTGCAGAGGGTGATCAGAAAACT